ATCACACCTGGGAGAGAAGCGGCACGGCGTCGGCTACCTGAGCGAGCTCGAGTGAGGCGCATGCCAGCCGCGTGCGAGGGTGCCCGCGGGGTTGTCCCAACGGCTTGCCTCCGCGGCGACAGCCCGCTGCATCCTTGAGGAGTTGTTCCGGCAGGTTGCGCGTTGATGGCTGTCTTGAGCGCGCTCGCGCGCTGCTGCCCCGAGGAGTTGTTCCGACGGGCAGCGCGCTCGCTGAATGCATTGCCGCCGAGCCTTCGCTGCCCCTCCCCCCTTGCCGCCCGCTTGTGGACTTCGCCTTTCAAACGTTTGCCCGAGGGGTTGTCCCGGCGGCATATGCGTTTTTGTATATCCTCTCGCTCTCGTCGCCACCCATGCGCTGTTTCGCTGCCCCGCTCCTTCACGCCTCAGGCCCGATGGGTTGTCCTGACGGCATCTGCAGCAGAGACCAGGAGAGAGCCGGATACAATAGCAAATGCCAGCAAAAACCAACGCGGAGCGGCAAAGAGCATGAAAGAGCAGGTGAGATCAACCGAGAGCAGCAGACAACAGCATGGAACAGTAGAGAGCAGCGGGAAGCAGGAGGGAGCGGGAGAGACCAGGACAGACCAGTTGAGGCCAGCAGCTGGCCAGCTGACACCGTTGTGGTTGAGGTCTTGTTTGATAGTTTCGATCGTTTCTGTGTTTTCTGGGAGCCTCCGGAGCTCCCAGGGGTATCTTGACGTCAGGCACCGGGTAACAGCCCAGAGCAGCAGGGAGCGGCATAATGCAGCAACCAACAGCGAAGACCTGCAGGGCGCAGCAGAGAGTAGCAGAGAGCAGCAGACAACAACAGGCAACAACAGAGAACAGCGGAGACTGGGGGTGTGATGGGCTTGTGATGGGCTCAAATGGGTTTGTTTCCGTCGCCGTTGTGATGGGCTCAAATGGGAAGATTCGTGTGGGTCTCGTTGCCAGAGCAGCAAGCAGTCGCGGTGCGCCTGCGTCTCGCCCGCCATGCCTTTCGAGATGGGTGACACCACCGTGCTCGTTCTGTTCGTCGCTGTGCATAAGGATGACCAGCCCGCCGTTGAGCACGGGGCGCAGATTCCACGGCGTTTGATGGGGTCCACTCCGTGCGTTGGTTTCCGCACGTCGCCGACGCAGGCCATGGGGCGCGCTCGCATAGTGCAGCAGAGGAGTGGCGCTTTTGTCTCAAAGGTGAAGCACGTGCTGCTACAGGTGGAGTTCAGCGCCCGCGCTCTCGCGGACCTCGCCGTGGCGCCCGCCGCCAGGGAGCACGCCTTCGCGCCAATGCTGCACAAGGTGGTGCATCGGTCCGATGGAGAGACTGACTGGGGAGTCTGGCATTACTGCGGCGATTTCCCACTGGGGCTCTCTGGGATTCGCCATTGCTGGCGGGAGATTGAGTGATCTGGAAACGCTTGTTCGCAGGTCGCTACTCGGCCGAGGGGTTGTCCCGACGCTTTTTTTCTCCACCTGCACAGCGCGTTGTCTTGCTTCCGGCGGCATAGACCCCTTTGCTACGTCTCTCGCCTGAGGGGTTGTCCCGACGGCAGTATTCACGGTCTGAGTGTCTCGCCAATGCATCCAGTGTTTGAGTCGGCAAAGCAAATGGGGCTCCTGCGCGCCCTCCCACCCGCCACTGTCATATCCGTTGCCTGTCCCGTTTATTCGAGGTCTCCGCTCCCTCGTGGTTGTCGATTCCGCCGAGTGACATCTGACACGAGGGTTTCCGCCGGACCCGCTCACCACCATGTTATTATGGTTTTCTGATTCGGATACTAACGTCTTTTCGGGGGAGCCGTCTTCGATCGTTGTGCTCTGGTGCATTCGTGCCGTCTCGAGTATGCACGCACGCGCAGCCGCGCGCCTCACGTCTCGATATTATTCGACTGATCGAGAAGGATGGGAGAGGAAAGTGAGAGCTGGGGGCCCCTGTCAGCCTCGACCCCGTGCAAGAGCTTCCGCAGCGCATTTGGCTCAAGCATCTTGTGGCCAGCGCCCCCGTTCCATCTCAGTCCGGCGTTGCCGCTGACCATGGCGGACAGCAAGCTCGCTCTGTCTCCGCGAGAGTTCTCCGGCGATCCCGCCAGGTGCGTCTTCGGGCGCGTCGTCATCAAGCGAGGCCCGGTGGAAGTGGGCAACCAAGCGGATGGGAAGGGCAAGGGCAAGGCCAAGGGCAAACGCGTTGGAAAGGACAGAGAGCCGGGGAGGAAGATCGAAGTGCACATGCTCGGCGGTGACACTGTGGGCGACGTCCTGTTCCTTGACGGATGGGCAGACGCCGCCGCCCAAGTTCATGCCGCCATGGAGCTGGGCAGGGTCTACCGCGTGTCCGGCGGGACCGTCGTGAACCAGACCCCGAAGTACTCCACTTCTCGGCTGTCGTACTTCTTGCGGGTAAAGCCGCCCTTGGGAGTCAACACGGTCATCCAGGAGTGCACCGAAAGCCCGTGGGTGGACGTTCCCCTGCATCACCCGTTCGCGGAGATTGCCAGCTTGGGCAGAGTGACCGATACAACGAAGGTGTGCGCGGTCGGCGTCGTGTCTCACCAGCCGGGCGTCGTGGAGCGCGACGCCCAGTACGGCCGAGCAGGCGTCTGCAACGCGGTGATCAAGCAGGGGCGCCACGACATCCGCTGCGCATTCTGGCGAGACCATGCCGCGACTCTGGCCGCCTTCCCCGTCGGCTCCGTGATCGCGCTGATGCAAGTGAATGTGAAGCAGCGCAACGGGTCCTGGGAGATCTTCGCCACGGAGGCCACGGAGGTCACGACTTGTCCTGCAGCTCAAGCGGAGACTGCTCGCGCCGCGACTGACATCTCCGAGGGTGCCGACGCGGCCACGTCCCTCGCCAAGCAGCACCATGCCGTGGACTACGACACGGTGCCCGCCATGGCGAGCACGGTGAGTGGCCTCATGTCGGTGCCCGTGCCTTTCCAGACGCGCGACCTGCCTGGGGTCTTCGAGCTCCACTGCGTCGCCGTCACGGGCGTGGCAGGTGCTTCCGCCGACAGCGACTGGCAGATCAGAGCTGCGCAGAGTGCAAGAAGAAGATTCCCGACCACCAGGACACGTGTGGCAGCCACCCCGAAGCGGGAACTGAGATGCGGTGGCTCCTGAAGCTGGGCATCGCGGACCACACCGGCGGAGGCTCCGCCGTCCTGTACCACGACGCAGCGTCCACCCTCGACGTGCTCGGCGATTCGGGCACGCCCCTGGACGCCCAGGCTCGCCGCGTGCGCGCTGCGGCATTTCGGGCGACGCCGTGGACGCTGCGGTGCGTGTTCAAGACAAACGATGTCACCAATGTCAACTACCTCGAGGTGAAGCGGATTGTCCCGACGCTGACGCCCGACGGCGTCGTGTCGACGTGGTCGGAGGTGACGGCGCCGCCGGCGGTGAAGACGGGCGGCGCCTGCCCGTTCGCGGCGTGCTCGGACGTCAGCTCGGACGACTCGCTCGGCTTGCTGCTCGTCCGTGACCTGGAGGTCCAGGCGGTCCGCGTGTTGCTGGTGATGCAGAGGCCCACGGAAGCGGAGACGGTGGCCACACCCGACGCAGAGAATCGCGGCCTGCGCGTGCAGCGCCTCGCGCGCTGCGGGTTCCAGTCTGAAAAGGAAGACACGTATTGCGTTAAGACGGCCGGTGTCGCCGGCGACGTGCAGTGGCTCCTGACGGCCGGGCACGGCGACGCGCACCTCGTGACTGCCATGCTGCGGACAGATAAGGGCTCCGGCCGCGGGACGTTCGATGTGCTGTCGCACAAGGCCGTGGTCCCCGAGCTCTTGCCCAGCATGGTCAAGCTCATGGCCAGCGCGCAGGGGTCCGGCGGCCCGGCGCTCATCGCGCACGCGCCCGACGCCACGCCGCTCAAGCGCATGCGGGACCTCGTCTTCTCGCCCCCCGACGCTGCGTCAACGCCATCATCCCTGGCGACGCGTCGCCGACTGGAGTGAGAGCTCGCGCGCGAGCCGCAGCCGTGCCTGCGGGGATGTCCCAACGGCGCGCTCTGGCACTGGCGCGAGCCCGCGCTGACTCGGCTGACGCTGCGCCGTCTTGCGAGGGCGCCCGCGACGCAGTGCCCATCGCCGCTTGTCTCGCCTGAGGGGTTGTCCCGACGGTATTGAGTATTGATTTTACACTTTGTCTCTCCCTTCTGTCGCCGCCCCAGCCGCGCCCGCGGGGTTGCCCCAGCGGCGCGCGCTGGCACTGGCGCGAGTTCGCGCTGACTCGGCTGACCCTGCGCCGTCTCGCGAGGGCGCCCGTGACGCAGCGCCCATCGCCGCTGGTCTCGCCTGAGGGGTTGTCCCGACGGTATTGATTTTGCACTTTGTCTCTCCCTTCTGTCGCCGCCCTCGCGCTTTCTCCCGCAGGCCCGACGGGTTGTCCTGACGGCATCCTGCGCGCGGCGCCCGTCCGGGCGGGGGCAGACGGCGGAGCTGCCGACCACTTCAAAAATGACAGGGCCTGCGCGCCAGCATTCTCCCTTCCGCTTTCGCCTCCGTCGTCGATCTCCATCCCGGATTGCCTGCGATGCCCGGGCCGTCGAAAATATCGTGCCCATCCGCTGCCTCTCACTGCCGGCAGGGAGCAGCACAGCTGACAGTAGCAGCCAAAATCTGAGACCACCCGTGGCCAGCAGAGAGCACAACAGAGCACCGGAGAGCAGCAGACAAGAACTGAGACCAGCATAGCATCAGCAGCAGAGACTCACATGCAGCAGCAGAGAGCAGCAGAGACCAAGAGAGAGCAGGATGCATTAGCAGAGACCAGCAGAAACCACCACGGAGCGGCAAAAGGCATGAAAGTGCAGTTGAGAGCAGCGGTAAGCAGGATGGAGCGGGAGAGACCAGCTGAGACCACCATACCCCGAGGTGACCAGCTGAGACCAGCTGACACCGTAGCGATTGAGGCTCAGTCCGCATTGGCTTTGCTTCCTGTTGCCAACGCTGCGTGCTTCACTCGCCGTTGCAAACCGCATATCCCGACATTTCAACATGCCGCCCAAGAAGGCGGAGGCGGCCTTGCTCGCAGACGTCGCAGAGCATCGTCGGTGGGCGACTGCCAATTTGACGGCCCTGAGAGCACGGGGCGGCATCGGCTTGAAGGCGAAGCTTCAGCAGAGGGCGGGGCTCGAGGAACAGCGGATTTACAAGTGGTACGTGAAGCACGCGGGCGTCGCATCTGATCATCCGACAGTTGCCGCTGCCCTGTCGGAGCTGGACGCCCTGGTCAATGACTCCCTCGGCCCGGCAGCGTCGGCGTGCCCCGGCGACGCCCCGCCGGCAAAGCAAAGGCGCCTGACCGAGAGGGGTGGCGAGGCTGCTGCCTGCGCGGCGCCGTTGCAGGGCGAGTCGCGGCCTGGCCAGTCGACGCCGGCAGCTCGAGGGGTTGTCCCGACGGCTTGCTCGGCTGGACACGGCCCGGCGGCTGCAGCAGCGGCCAAGGCGTCTCCCGCTTCAACGCCGCCCATCGGCATCGAAGAGACCCCGGCGAAGAGGCCTCGCCTGTTCGCCGACGGGCTCGGTGCGACGCCCGCGCAGACCACCGGCGGCCTGGCGCCTGCCACCGCGGAGGCCTTGGCAAGGTCGTGCCGCAAGAGCCCGTGGGAGTCCCCGTTGGTCGACGATTCCGTGAGGCTTGCTCACCCAGGGAATCCCGCGAGAGGTGCCTCGCGGCCCGTCGAGCGGCCGCGCTTGCGCCCGCGGGAAGAGGAGCGCCTCCTGGCGGCAGTGCCGCGGAAAGCTGTGAAAGATCTGTACGTGCACGTCCGCGATGAGGCTCTGCGCCTAGGCAACGGAGAGTACCTCCCACAATGGCGCGAGAACAAGCCAAAGTATCGACAGCTGAACTACGTGTGGAATTTGCACCAGCACGGCGAGCTCCAGGCGGCCGAGTACGCTCTGTTGGCGCACCAGCCTCACATTATTGGCCCAGAGCTCTTCGGCGCAGTGGAGAAGGTGGAGTGCCCCGCCGCAGTGATCCCCTCGAGCAGCAGCGCCTGGCGGTGGACTTTCAAGCCGGCAGGAGTTGACGTGGAAGGACCGCAGGTGGAATCTCGGGCCGACGCGGCGCGAGCCCTGGCCGGGCTGCAGGCGCGGCTGTACCCCGAGTGGCATCACCCAGGCACTCGCGAGCAACACCTCCGCGCCCTGCTGCGCGACGACGACCGGCAGCAGCAGATGCGCGGCCTGCTCGCTCAGCCTGGCATGCGGTTCGCCAGAGCGGCCGTGCTGGGAGCAGCCGCGTCAGCGCCCCGAGACGGCCGCGCGGGCGCCGCTGGCTTCCCCAACCTGACAAACACGTGCTACATCAATGCCGTGGTGCAGTGCTTGTACCACACGCACCCCTTCCGCGCAGACATCGAGGGCATGCAGCCGGGCGCCAGCAACATGGGGGACCGCCTGCGGGACTTGTTCTGTGCGCGCAGCTCCCCTGCTTCCACGGCCGGCGACATTCGCCCGCCGTTGGTGGCCCTTGTCCGCCAGATCTTGCAGCAGCCGCCAGGCTTTGAGTCCGGTCGCCAACAGGACGCGGCGGAGTGCCTGATGCGCGTCCTCGAGCACGCGGACCTCGGAGGAGTGCGGCGCCGCGTCTGCGGGGACGGCGCAGCCGCGAGCGTCGAGGGCATGGTGCACTGCTGCGCGGCCGAGGAGGCCCAGGTGGGTCGCGATGCGCCGCCTGTGCCCATGGCCGCCATGATCCAGGCGTCCCTCACGGGCGAGCAGGCCGTCCGTGAGGCTTCGGAGGCAGTGGTCCTCCGCGTGGAGAGCATGTACGAACAGGATGGCAGACAGTTCGCGGTGGACGCGCGGGCGGACTGGCGGGACACTGTCTTCCCCGTCAGCATTCTCAACGGAGACGCCGTTTCTTACGAGGTGGCGGCCTTCGCGCAGCACCGCGCCGCGCGCGGCGTACCACCTCTGCAGCGGATGCGCGGCGGCCACTACGTCGCCTACGTCAACAAGGGCGGGCGCTGGTTCGAGCTCGACGATGCCGTCGTGACGGAGCTGCCTGAGCCGCCTGACGCGTATCCGTACTTGGTCTTCCTGGCCCGCGCGAGGCCCAGACGGTCGATTCCGATGGGCGGGAAGCGGCGCGACCCTCGTGGGCCTGACGACGCTCTGGAGGCTGCTGCCAGGCTGTCGCGAGTGATGCCTGCGGCGTCGGGAGGGGCCGCTGCTGGCTTAGCATCCGGATCGGGCAGCGGCAGCCGCGGCTTGCCACAGGCTGCAGGCTCAGCGGCTGGTCAAGGCCGGACAGGCAGGGACTGGAGTGGCAGAGACCAGTCTGGTAGAGACGAGACTGGAAAGGACCAGACTGGTAGGAACCGCAGCGGTCAGCCAAGGGGCATTGCTGGAGTGCACCCAGCTGCCAGGGCCGTCTGGAACGCTTCAGCTGCCGCGGACAACAGAGACCACACCCGGGCAGACCCCGAGAACAGCGCGGACAACCCTTTCAAGCGGTACGTGGATAACTGGGATCTGCGACGCACCAGCGCAGATGTGAAATGCCGCACCTGGTCGCAGAGGGCCGAGCCGTCGGGCCCCCAGCCGTGCCGGCTCTGCCAGGGCCGAGACTTCGCGTTCCGCGAAGATTGGAAGAAGCACGTGGACGACGAGCACGGTGGCGTCCAGCGCTACCGCAACGCTCTCTTCTCGTCGCTGTCGCTGAAGCCCTATGTTGTCAAGGGAGAGGAGTGGCGCGCGATCGTGGCCAATTATGCGGAGTTCTACGCCAGGGCCGCCGTGGACTGGGAGAAGCCGACTGAGCGCATGCGTGAGCTCGCTCAGACTCCCGAGGGGTTGTCTGCAGATGAGCGCTGGGCGCCCCGGACCCGCTGTGCGTGCGTCTTCTGCGCCAGGCTGCACTGGTCCGAGGACCTCTCCTTGGAGTTCCTAGCAGGCAAGGACTGCTTCATGAAGAACCCCGAGGCCGTGGCCAAGCTGTTGTCTTGGGAGGTTTACCACAAGCACTGGCCCGACATCCCCGAGGCCGAGCTCCGCGCCTCCGCCGTGCGTCTGCGCATTGGGAACACGGACACATTCCAACTTGTCCTCATGCACAAGCGGCGGGTGACGGATGCGCAGGCGTTGGGCGACGAGCGGGCCCCGGTGTGCGAGGATTGCCTGTGCGCGTTCTCTCCCCGCCACCCGCGCATGTGCAAGTTCACCTTCGCTAACCACTTGTGGCTCGGCAGGAATGACCCGCTCTTCCGCACTGCCAACTTGTCGCACCAGATGCTCCTCGCACTCGCCCGCGTCGTGACGACCTAGGTGGTGCTGCGCCCCGAGAGCTACGACAAGCAGCGCAGCGGCGACGGGCCCACGTGGTACTTCCTCTTCCACCAGACGGGCATGGTGGGCTCCGCAATCCTCTTCGGGAACGCGTCGTGCAAGGAGGCCATGGAGCGTTTCCCTCCGGCTTCCATCAAGGACGCCTTCGCGGTGACTTTCCTGGCAGCCAAGCAGGACGCGGCGAAAGAGCAGCCGCCAGACGGCTCGGAGAATGCAGCGGGACAGTGGCGCCGCGAGGGTCTGGCTGGCGACGCCGCCAGGCAGCAGGACGCCGCCCGGCGCGCCGTCCGGGGCATCGCGCGCCTCAAGGTGAACCGCGCAGAGTTTGACTCGCAGGCGCAAGCGCTGCAGTCCACGAACGTCGTCTACAAAGACAAGGATTACGACGAGGCGCTGGTTGCCCAGTGGTGCCCCAACCCGCTGATTCCTGAGGTGCCCCCGGTGGTGTTGGACAGCGTCGTGGCCGTGCCGTTGGAGGATTCGCCCGGCGCCGTCGTGGCCGCGGGACCAGCCGACGCCACGGCGGCCGGGGCGCAGGATATGGAAGACGCAGACGTTCAGGCGTGCAAGGAATCCCGGTACGTGAGCGCGTTCAGCGAGGAGGACATCCCGGGCGCGGCCGCCTCGGCGGGGGCCTTGGAGGTGACGGCGCTGATCAAGCAGCTGGAGGAGCTGGACGCGACAGCGCAGCGCTCCGTGGCCAAGGAGACAGAGCACGCCATCGAGTCAGGCAGCGCGCTGCTGGACGAGGCGGGCAGGGAGCGAGTCTTGCAGCTCTGCGAGTCCGTTCGAAACCGCGCTGCTCGGTTGTCGCGCCCGGAGCGGGAGCTGCGGCTGCAGGAGGACCTCGCGCGCGCCGCGCTGGGCGAACCGGTCAGGCCTCGACAGGCGGGGGGGGCCGAGGCGACCATGGCGAACCTCGAGGTGACGCGCGGCACGGCGCCCCTGTCGCTGTTCGAGTGGAAGGTGTGGACGCAGGCGCGCCTGAGCCTGTGGCGCTACGGCGACGCCGGTCACCTGGACCCGGAACGAACGGGGACCTACCCGCAGTTGCTCGCCCACGAGTGGATCACGTGCCTGTGCATGCGGGAGGAGATGGAGTACACTCTGGACACCGACGAGGAGAAGCCGTACCGCGTGCGGGAGAACGACGACGATCCAGAGGTCAACCGGTTCGCGGCGGACTGGGTGTCGTTGCACATGTTCGCCACGTTGCACTTCTTGACGGAGCGCCACCAGTCCGCCTTCGCCTTCCTGAAGAACGGAGGCATGAAGTGGGCCGAGAAAGTGCAGCACCTCACGCCGGATGCCCTGGCGGCGGCCGCCCGCGCTCACGCGGGTGGCGGCGGCGTGGCGGCTTTGGCAAGCAACGCCAACGTGCCCAACGTGGTTCGGGACGCCCTGAACATCATGCAGATGGCCGTCGCGGACGTTGTCGGCACCGACGGACATCGGCGCCTCTGCCGCCACGAGGGGGTTGCCTACATGGCGCTCTTCGGGTGCCCCTTGATCTTCGCCACCCCGAACGTAGCGGACACGAAGCAGCCACTGTTCGTCGGGGTGGAGGGCCAGGAGATCCCGCTCGACGACCGGAGCATTCCAGGCCTGCGCAGCGACGTCATCCCAAAGTACCGAGACATGATGCGGCGCGTCGCCCAGGACCCGGTCGGCCAGACCGTGTGCTTCGAGCTCATCATGCGCCTCTTCTTCATCCACGTCCTCGGCGTCCGCCCCGAGTGCGTGGGCGGCCGCCGGCGCGGCGTTCCTCCCAGGAAACGCTGCTCCTGGGACTGGTGCACCGACGGCGTGGCGGCGTCCTCGACCGCCCCGGGGATCTTTGGGCCCGTGCAAGCTTTCCGCGGAGAGATCGAGGCGCAAGGTCGGGGATCGCTCCATCCGCACATCCTGGTGTGGTTGTGCGCCCTCTCGACGCGGCAGCTCGTGCACGTGCTCCGACGCCATCCTGCCGCTTTCCGAGAGCGCCTGGGCAAGTGGATGAGGGCGTGCGTCATGGCCGTGGAGAGCACCTGCCAGAGTTCCGTAGAGGTGTTGCCGCGGCGTTTCGGGCACGTCGACCAGCGCGTGGACCCGCTGCCATTCTCTGTCATCGAACGAGACCAGTCGCGCTTCGACGGGGGCAGCGAGCTGGACGCGCTCCGCGAAGAGAAGCAGGCGGGCGCGGAGCTGACCGAGGACCAGGAGACCTTCCTGGAGACCGAGGACCGGGACTCCTGGCTCCGGCCCGATCTGCCGTTGCGGGACGCCACAGGCCGCGAGTTGGCGCCGGGGGAGAAGGCACCGCCGCGGCCGTCCTCATACGGCATGCCCATCGATGCTTTCGCCGTGGGGAAATGCCCCGCGTACCGGCGGCGCGGCCTCGTGCAGCAAGACACCGGCGCGGGCGAGCCGGCGGCCCGCGGGGTTGTCCCAACGGTCTGCTCGGACGCGCCCGCGGCTCAGTCGGGGCAGCAAGGACTCGGCCAGACGACACTCGCCGCGGACGAGGAGGCGCCGCCCCCGCCGCCGCCCCCGCCAGGAACGGAAGAGAATCGTGAGGTCTGGGAGCGCCTCTTCTCGAGGGACGTCCGGGAGCTCGCCAAGGAGACGATGACGCACGTGTGCGGAGAGAGCTGCTACAAGTACTCGGGCAACAAGACCACGAAGATCTGCCGCCACGGCTTCTACTACATCGTCACGCTTGCGGATTGGCGCAGGCGCAGGCGAGGGAAGCCTCTGCGGAACGCCATGTTCGTGGTGCGATCCTCGACGCACGGCATGCAGGGTCGTCTGTTGCACTTCCAGCTCCACCCGTCTGAGTGCATTACCAACTACGCCGGCGCCGCGGCTGGACGCTTCAACCTGGATGCGCAGGACCTCCGACGAGTCAGCGACCCCAAAGCGTGGTTGGACGAGGGCGAGGTGCTCCCGCACGTCGGCTCGCAACCCAAGCTGGGGTATATGGGCACGTGCGAGCTGGGCGATGCCGACGCTTACGTCAACCGCCCGGAGGTTCCGGAGAAGCCGCTCGCGTGGACGGACGATTGCTCGCCGGAGGAGTGGCGCGACATTATGCTGCAGTGCCAGACGGAGGACGCGGAGGGCGAGGACGCGGATGACGCGGACGCCGCGGACACCTTCGCGGACCAGCTGGAACTGGATGCCCAGGCAGCGTTCAGCGACGGCCTGAACACGGGCTTCTACATCAACTCCTACACGACGAAGCAGTGCCCCAGCATGGAGGGCGTCCTCGTGGAGATGCGGCGCGGCCTGGAGCGGCTGCAGGCGCAGCGACAGGCGCAGCAGGACAAGATGAAGCTGGAGCTGCAGCAGCGAGGAGACGACCCCGAGAAGACTCTGTCCGCCGCCGACCGGAGAGCGCTCGGGGGTAAGTCCAAGTTCGGGGAGACGCTGGATCTGGTGAAGAATCTGTCCGCATCGTACCGCCGATGCTACTGGAAGAGCGGGCCAGAGATGCTGTTCCCGATCTTCTACGGCCACCTCACCTACGCGTCCCACCGCTGCTGGACGATCTTCATCAAGAAGGGCGTCTTCCTGGCGGCGGAGGCGTGGCGACGCGAGTACGGGCGCTCTCTCCGGCACAAGGCCAAGCAGGACGGGGGCCGCGCCCCGGTGCAGTACCTCGGGCGCGGCGTCGACCCGTACACTCTCGAGGGGTGGCGCGAGGAAAAGGACGACGACGGGCAGGCGGTGTACGTGAGCCCGGAAGGCCAGCGCTTCCCGGATATCCTGACGGCCTACGAGCACGACGTCGCGACCAAGGCGGCGCGCGACGCGCCCGATCATCGCCAGGTGGTGTCGTTCCTGGCGAAGTTCATGCAGGACATGGGCTGCGAGAGCGAGGAGGCCCCGAAGACGGGGGACGGCTTCCGCATCGTGAGGACCACGAGCACTCTGGACGACTGGCTGCACCGCGGCGACGACCCGGTCCTCAAGCACATGAGTTTGCAGGTGCACGCCATGTGGGTCTACCGCTGCGAGAAGCCCGACGGCCTGTGGCGAGTCAAGACCCGCGCGCAGCACCTGGACTTCGACTTCGCGCCGCACTACGCGCTGTACGCGACCCACAAGCAGCGCCTGGCCCCCGAGCTCCGCGTGCCCCTCATCGAGGGCTTCACCATGCCGACGATGAACAAAGACTGCGAGACAGCATGCTTGTACAAGCAGTTGCTCCTGAGGCCGTTGGAGGTGGAGAACTCGGAGACGCCGGAGGACGAGCGCATGCTGCGGGCGTTCGCGCCCCTGATGGAGGCCCCCGGCGCGCCCCGTGACATGAATGTGCGCGGGTCAACCTGTTTCACGCGATCTTGGGCGCACTACGAGGCTCAGGCGGACGCGGAGGCCCGCGTCGCCGCGGCCCGCTTCCTCGCGCGGCACGAGTGGCCCTCGATCTGGGAGACACAGGAGGTGCAGGAGGAATTCTTCGCGCTGCACCAGGCGCGAGCGGAGGGTAAGGACGCGGAGGGCGACTCGCTGGACCCCGCCCACTGCCCCGACAGAGAGAAACCCAGGGCGACGGTGCACCAGTACGTCTCCATGATAGCCATGCAGGTGGCGCCCAACCTCGAGGGAATCGCCCTGGCGCGCGAGGAGAAGAAACCCCGGCAGTACCAGAGCGACGCAGCAGTGCAGAGCGCGTACCTCAAGGCGACCACCGGTGGAGGTGCCGGTCAGGACGAGGGCGCCGAGGCGGGCGAGGGCGTGGAGCACCCGGGCGCGCCTCCCAAGCGTGTCGGAGCACACTTCCAGCCGGTCCCGACGTGGGGCATCGACGGGGAGCAGGACATGGCGGACGTGCTGAACTTCGCGCACCGTAAGCGCCTCACGAGGTTGGCCAAGGAGCTCCTCGCGCTCCCGTGCATGTCCGAGGCGGCCCGCGAGGGCGCGGGTGCGCCCGAGCCGACGGAGGCCGCGACTGCTCCCGCGCCCGCGGCCGGGTACCGACCGCTGGTGACCGCGGCGCGCGAGGAGAGACACGCCTGGGGAAACCTGCACGACGAACGCCTCCAGGACAATCGCGACGAGGAAGATGCAGGCGCTCCGGACGGCGAGGACGCGGGCGCAGGCGGCCTGGGCGGCGACCCCGCTGCGGCCAGTTTTGCCAGCAGCGTGTACTCAACGCCCAGCGCGTGCATCGCCGCCCTGGTCGCTGGGTTGCCGGAGAACGAGAGACTCACGCGGGACCAGACGCTCTTCGTCGCCAAGTTCGCCAAGGCCTGCGACGACGCCTGGGAGGACGACGTGCAGAAGAAGCCCTGGAGCGAGAGAAAAGTGACGCACTTGCTCCTGTTGGGCCAGGGCGGCTCGGGGAAGACGCACGTGGTGCAGAAGATCGTCTTCCCAGTGGTGGAGTATTTGTGGCCCTCGTCGGCGCAGGACAAGGGCGCCATGATGGTCGTGGCCTTCTCGAACGCGCAGGCGAAGAACATCTCCACGGAGACGGTGAAGGCCAGAACGCTGCACAACGCCTGTGCCCTGCGAGTCCAGAAGTACATCAACGCGAAGATGAGACCGGGGAGCATGCAGAAGAGATTGCAGTGGTTGTGGGAGCACGTCCGCGTCCTGGTCATCGAGGAGGTGAGCATGGTGGCAGCTGCTCTGTACAACGCTCTGGACCTCCGCGCCTGCCACGGGCGCAGTGACACGCACGACGTGCAGGAGTCCACCTACAAGAGGCCGCACCACCACTTCGGCCGCGTCCCCATCGTGTTGCACCTCGGGGATTTCCTGCAGCTGAAGCCCACCGGCAGCATCGGGCTCCTGACGGACGTGAACGAGCTCCTGGACGACGGGTCGTACAAGTACGCGGAGCCGCCGACGGTGGAGATCCAGCACGCCATCAGGGTATTCTCTCAGATCCCCTGCGTCTTCGAGCTGAAGGGCACGAAGCGCTTCGAGCCGGGGGACCCTCTGATCGCGTTCTTGGGCTGCATGCGCGAGGGCAAGCGCTTCCCACCAGAGGTCTGGTCTGCCTGGGAGAAGACGTTGGCCTCTGACAACCACGGCGTCCTGGACCCTCGGCACCAGCACGAGAACTTTCGGCTCGGCTACGGCATGGGCATCTACTGGGAGACGCTGGCGAGGTGGATCAACACGCGCGCTCGTCGCGACGCGCGGCGCCTCGGCGTCCCCCTCGTTTTCCTGCAGGCCGTAGACGAGTGCGGCACGATTCAAGGCGAACCAGACGCAGGCCGGCGCCTCCTGAACGTCCCGAACATGCACAAGACGGGGGACATCCACGGCGTCTTACCGGCACACGTCGGCATGGAGGTCCGGTTCACGGCCGTGCAGGAGGAGCTGAAGAAGAAGTTGGGGCTCGTGCAGGAGCAACGGGCCACCATCGTGTCCTTCGAGTTTCACGCAGACGACGAGCGGGACTACGAGGAGTGCGCGCCGGGCCAGCTCTTCCGCCCCCGCTTCCTACCGCAGGGAATCTGGCTGCATGTGCACGGCTTCCAGGAGTCCCCGATCTACAAGGAGGTCGCCGAGGTGCTGCTGCAGGGCACCGAGGGCGCTGACGACGACGGCGAGGCCCAGGCGCGGGCGAGGAGCTTGCTCATGTTCAGGCCCAGCGAGCAGGAGTTCACGTGGCAGAGCTCGGGGGCGCACACTGTGCGCCGCTCGGGATTCACGCTGACGCACGCGTCCTACCTGACCTCCACGCTGTCGCAGGGCCAGACGCTGCGCAAGGGCGTCACCATCGACTGCGCCAGGGATGAGGACGCTGGCCGCACGGGCATGTCGGACGATATGTGGTGGCTGCACCTCTACGTCATGTTCTCCCGCGCCACGTGCATGCGGAACATGCTGATCCTGCGGCCGCCCGCGCGAGAGTTCCTGGAGCGCGGGCCGCCGGCGTCACTGCGGAAGGCGCTCCAGGAGTTCGACGAGAGAGCGGTGGACTCCAGGGCTGAAGCGGAGCAGCTCGCGGCAGAGCTGGGCTTCGTGCTGCCGCCCGCCTGAGCGCCGCGGCGCGCGCGAGGAGGCCCGCGGGGTTGTCCCAACGGCCTGGCCCGCGGGGTTGTCCCGACGGCCTGCCCTCGCGCTCCGGCGGCCCGCGGGAGTGCCCCGCAGGCATGGCTGGCCCGAAGGGTTGACCCGACGGCTTCGCGATCTGGCCGTCGGCAAACGCGCGCGTTCTGACCGAGGCGGCGACGGCGCCGAGGAAAATCGACTTGCTTCCCCCGACCGGGGGGAAAGGGACGTGCACGTGGAAAAGAGGCAGGAGGAGGATGAGGACGGAAGGGGTATGGGGAGGGCGATGATGAGGAGGAGGTGGAGAAGGAGGAGGAGGAGGAGGAGGAGAAGGAGGGGGGGGGAGATAGAAGAAGAGGAAAAGATGGCAGAGGAGAGGGCGATACGAGGGTGTTTGCCATGGCCGGGAGGAAAGGGGTAAGGGAAAGCTAAACAGATTATCATGTGGGGTCCTTCCGTCGGAGTATTTTTTTTTTCCGTTGGAGCAATATGCCTCTCCGACCGAGTGGGCCCGCCGTCGAAGCCCGCCCCCCTCCCGCGGGGCTTAACCCCTCGATCGAAGAAGAGAAGGAGGGGGAGGGAGGAGGAGGATCGAAAAACTCTCCCCTCCTCTCCCTCCTCCCTCGCCTCTCGGCGTCGTCGTCCTCCTCCTCCCTCCCGCCCCCGCCTTCACTGGCTGCGCTTCGTCGAGCCACCAGACTTGTGGGTAGGGTGTGTGTGTGTTCTCGTTTCGCTTGATGTACGCTGCTCAATTTGGGGCCCTGCAGTTTGAAATTCTCGTCTGTGGCACGGGTGAAGCGCAGGTCTTTCTCAACTGTCGGCTCTCGCCTTGGAGCGGCAAGTGCGTGAGTTGGGGGCGGGCCGTTCTTTCAAAATGTGGCGCTCGTTTCAGCGCCGAGCGCCCTCGTTTTGCTTGCTCGCAGCGGTGATACGGTTGGCGGGCGGGTCGTTTCAACGTGCGGCTATCCATTTCGTGTGCCGTGCATGCTCGCAGTATCATATATAATAGTACTGTCATACTACAACATATGGGATCTAGCTGGGGACGAACTTCGCCCTCGACGCCGCGCCGCTGCCGACTCGAAGAGGGAAGTTTCCCAGTCGCCTGCCATGCCGGCGCGCAGGAGGACGGCTGACGGAACCGGGGCGGAGAACCGCGGAGGAAGGGCGAGAGCGAGCGACAGTGCTCCGTACGACCCTCAGGGACAGGAGCCAACCCGTCAGGCGGGCAGGGTCTTCTTCTCGCCGAGCGCGGAATCGGGAGGCGAGGGTTCGCAAGAGGTCCGAGAAGGCCACGTAGCCACATTGACCACGGCCAGTGCGAAGCTGACGCCTGTCGCAAAGGCTGACGGCACGGCCAGGTTCGCGGGTCGCCACGCCGTCGCGACCAACCCAGTCAAGTGTCACAACTTCGAAACAAGTACGGCTTGGTCTCATCCTTCGTTCTGGCTTATGAGGAGGGTGCAACGACATTCTTCCGTGGCATCTGCTCCGTCGTCGCACGTGAGCGCGTACCATGGGCGGCGGGATCCCGCGGATCTCATAAACATGATCCTGGACCTCTCGCGCCCGTGCTACGACATGTGCTTCAGGTGCCACGGGAGCAAGCAGCACGGCGACGCGACGTTTTGGATCAGGCTGGGGGCCTGCAACCTGAAATCCGGGTGGCTCAATCGGAGGAGTAAGTAGAAGAAATTGAAAACCCCGACGCAGCATACCAAAACCGTCGAGCTCGCCATGGAAGCGGATCTCGCGAAACGCAGTGACAGTTCGGTGGTCCCGCACGTCAGCCTGGCGCAGGTCGACGAGGCCATCCTGAAGGACAAGCGTTTGGGAGCTGCGTCGGGCGTCGCGATTGCCCTTGGCGGGGGCAACCATGCAATGTACGAGTGCTTGGACTGCAAGAGGGCCCCCTCGTGCGCAGCTGGACGAGCCAGGGGGCACCGCCACCGGAGGCCGCTGGTGGTGCGTGTGCACGGGGCGCGGCCGCAGTTGGTCGGGGGACGGCGCTGACGCGTGGGGGCACCGCGTCATCATCTTCCCGTAGCGCCCCATCATCGAGAAGGGCGGTGCGGAGCAGGCCAGCGACGGGGAGGTGGAGCAGATCGAGCAGACCCACGAGTGCACCCTGGGGGACCATGCGGGGATGGTCTTTCGCCCACGGCACCCCAGGGTAGGGTGGCACCCTGACGGTTTTGAGAATGGCCGATTTGGTGTCCACTATCAGCGCTGCGAAAAGGGAAAAGAGCAAACGTGATGGGCAGTTGGAAAAGGAGGTCGGCGCGGTCATGGTCGCCTTCCAGCAGCGATGGGTGGGCCGCGTGAAGGCCGAACGGGGCTTCGAGACTGCGCCTCTCGGCCCTTGCGCGCCTGCGAACGCCGTGCAGTGGTAGCGATGTCGCACGAGAAGAGGGGATAGGGAGTGAGGTGAGAAGGCGGTTGGGCCCGCGGCGCTCGCAGCGTCCGGGGGGGCCCCTGCCCCCCCTCTCGCCTCCGGGTCTCGTGTCTCCCCACTGCGGTTCGACGGGTGATTTACTCTTATCGCAGAATCTCACAGAGGGGGCATTAAGTTCCTGGGGCACGGCCCCCCCGCGCCGCCACCCTTACAAGGGCGTTGCCGTCGCCTCAGTCATTCCGTTTTTCCGGTATCGCACCGCCAATTGGGCTCATCGAGGATTTGCGTATCCTCCTCCTTGTCCGACGTCTGTGGCCATTTGGGCCCGGGTGCTTGGCCGTTCCTGAATAACCCGCCCGTAGCCACCCTGGGGCATCAAATTTCTGGGAGTGGCAGGTGCCGTGCGTGCAGGGCCCGCAGCGCCGCCACCCAGAAGAGGGGCATCGCCGTCACCTCACTCATCCCGTCTTACCTCTATCGCGCCGCTACGTGAATACGGTGATGGTGATGGTGTTGATGTTGGGGATGCTGATGATGGTGATGATGATGATGTCGATGGGGATGGTTATGGTGATGGGGACGATGCTGACGATGCTGATGCTGCTGATGATTGTGAAGGTGGTAATGAACGTGGTGGTGCCGATGAGGTGTATGATGATAATGGTGGTGATGGTATTGATGGTGGTGATGGTGGTGGTGGCGATGCTGACGCTGATGGCGATGGTGATGAAGATTTGTGTGCTGGTGATGATGATGGTTGTGTTGATGATGGCTGCTGTTGTTGGTGGTGGTGGAGGAGGATGATGATAATGAAGAGGGGGAGAAAGAGGGGGAGGAGGAGGAGGAGGAAGAGAAGGAGGACAGGAGGAGGAGGCGGAGGAGGGATCTGAGGAATCTGATGTGGCGGCCTGCGTCTTCCAGGCCCTGGCACACAGGCCCGCGGCACGGACTTACGCCGCGCCGCATTTTCGAACCGCACTCCGACGAGGCGACGAGGAAAGTACAGGGGCGACCCGCGTCAGGATAACCAAAACAGCCCAACGGCCCGAGGCGAGTCCCGCCGCGGCGACGCGACGAGGGACAAGCCAGAAAACCGAGGCGCCCAGCAGAGGTGACGAGGCAGGGCCAATGCCCGACACAGCCGCCACCGACGGGCCGAGCCTCTCAGCCCAGCTAGTGGGTGTACTTCTTAAGAGCGTTCGCCTTTACAAAGGCGACTTTGCCGAAGATCCCACGATTCCTAGCCTTGATCGCCTTCTTCTGGTGGGCCTTGATCATCACAACGCCCGGGATAACGAACTTACCGATGCGCTTAGCCACGGACGGCGCAGTGCTTGCGAGAATGCCCAAGGTCTTGATCATCGCAGCACTCGGGACGACGAACCTACCGAGGAACTTCGCCACTGACGTTGCAATGCTCGCGAGTGCTCAAAGCCTCCCGAGCTTCTCCTTCATCTCATCTTCTCCATGGCTCCTGCGGGCTGCACCCCCGCCGCGCGCGCCCGCAAATGGCTCCACTGAGCCAGGGGGGGCTAGGAAGAGGAGGAGGAGGAGGAGGAGGAGGAGGAGGAGGAAGATGACACATAGCCATAAGAGTATCAAGACGCGTAGTAATAGTAAGACGGCGCGTATGAGTAGTAATAGTGAGAGTTGCAGGAAACTAACAACATTACGATTACTACGATGAATACTGTTTATAATTTTAAAGCAAGAATAAGTATACCATCAATACCACTACTGATATGGTTACTAATGGTAATACTATTACGAATACTAAATAAACAACATATGACTAGACGCAAATAGTTTAGAAGGAGAGGAGGAGGAGGAAGAGGAGGAGGAGCAAAAGGAGGAGAAGGACGAGGAACAAGAGGAGTTATGGGATACTGTATATGAGGCATTTCCGCTTTGGACAGTCGTGAGTCCCTCTTTGGGTGCTTTAGGGCCGTCTTGGAGGTCCATGGGGCCGTCTTGGGGGCCGTCTTGGGGCACTATTGGGCCCCTCTTGTGCTTTTTTGCGAGCCTTTTGGGGGCCTCTGGGGCCGTTTTGGGGCAATCTGGGTGGCCTATTCGCATGCAGTTTGATAAAGAGCCTTGGCTGCGCAGCTTGATGGTTCCGCATTTTGGCTGGCGGATCGCTTTTTAACCGCAAATCAAGATATCCTGACATTTGGGGTTCGCGGTTGGGCTGTGGTCCCCAGAGGGGAGTCCGAGGGGACAGGAAGTGCAGTCGACCCGCATGGTAAGGGTGAGCGGTTTTCCCAAGGGTACGTTCCGTCCTTGCCTCCTCGCTCCATTCTTGGCCACTGTCGTTGGCCGTGCCCCGCTCGAAAAGCTTCGAAGCGGCCTTCCGAGGCCCTTGCATCCTCATCGTGCGTTCTTGCGATGCGGGCCAGCACTGTGCGTACAGACGCGGGCGTCACTGCCAGCTGCGCGGGCCCTGGGTGGGCGTCGGTTGGAGGCGTCGGCTGTAACGTCGAGACGTACTTTTGACGCTCCCGTGCGGTCGCTGCACTCTCCCTGTGCCCGCCGTGCTACGGGGCGTGAAAACGACCACAGCCACTGCTTTTCTCTTGTTGCCGCCTTCCAGCCCGCAGAAACAAAGCAGTGGTTGTGGTCATTTTCGTTGAGCTTGACACCAGGGAAATGACCACAACCACTGCTTCTTTTTCGGCCGGCTGGAAGGCGGCGCAAACAAGAAGCAGTGGCTGTGGTCATTTTCCCGTCCCGCACGTGCGCAGCCGGGGCCGTCGCAAAACCGACCAGAGCCGTTTTCGGGTTCGCAGGCTGGCATACACCAGCAGACTACACAACCTTATTTTATATCGTGCTTCGGTCGCAAGTCATGGAAGCCTGGTATACCCCCTCGTAATTCCGTCTGGGGCGTCGATTAGCGTCGATTGGCGTCTGGGAGTCGATGAGATAGTGCCGATTTAGCGTCGGTTAGCGTCGATTAGCGTCAATTTAGCGTCGATTAGCGTAGATTTGGCGTCGATCAGCGTAGATTTAGCGCCGACCAGCATCGATTCGCAAGAGCCGACAAGATGGTATGAGAGGCTCCCATGAGTTCCCACCGAACTTTCTCGTGCATACTTGTGTGTACAGGTGTGCACAACTCCATGGCGTGCTCACGCCTTCTGGCGCTTGCGCTGGTGGGCGTCGTCGATGTCTGCCAGGGCATCACGTTCCGTGCTGATGCGTCCAGAGGACTCACCAGAGGACTCACTCCGGAGTGGATTGAGAACGTTTCGTTCGTACTACCCATGGACTTCACCCCTTTGGACAATCAGACTTCCTTCTACAAGGAGTTGCAGTATCCTCATCATCACACGGCCGTCGTCACATTTGCAGGCAGGAAGAACACGGAATACCTCGATGGGGCGGTGATGCTGGGCATGTCCATCCAGAAGTACCTGCCAGAATATGTCAGGGTGGCCATGATCATCGAGGGCATGACCTCGAAGAACCAGGGCCTCCTTAAAAAGGCTGGGTGGAAGTTGATCACTGTGCCAAACTGGGAAAAGGAGTATTGCGGAGACGACTGTGAGCAGGAGTTTTTGGGGCGTTGGCATGATAGTTTCGAGAAGATTAATGCTTTCCGCCTGCCCTTTAAGCGGGTGCTGTTCATGGACTCGGACACATACATTTTTAGGCACCGCGTCAATTACCTGGTGTCCGAATTGCAGCTGCCCACCGTTGACCACATCGCCATGGCTAAGGACGGCTGCAAGGACGAGTACAACAGCGGGGTGATGGTCTTCAAGCCTGACCTCGAGGTGTTTAAGGCGATGCTCCTGATGGTCACGCAGCGCCGGCGGGAACAGATCCTTGACCAGACCCTGATCAATGACTACTACAAAGGCGATCAGAGGAGGAGACGGATCCCAGTTTTTGAGGATCCCCCGCTACCAAACCTGGCGGGATGCGAAGAGTATGATGGCCCAGTGTTGTCTGATAGCGAGGGCGAGGGTAAAGTATGCCCCTCTCAGGCAAGATCTTTCCGATCGACCGCATGTTCAACTGCGTGGACACGGTGGGCATCCAGCCAGGCCTGGGTCGGGGGCTTTGCTGGCCCTGGCCTGCACTTGGCCGCTGCTGCCGTTGCTGCTGCAGGCCTCCCCACTCTGCCCCTATTGTGAAGGCCTCACAGCTGGTGCCGCCGACCCGGAAGGCGGGGTTTCCCCCCAGGACCCCCGCTGGCGCCCTCCCGGGGACCCGCCTGGACCCCGGCGGGGGCGGTACTCTGACCCGGGACCACCCTCCCCCACCGCAGGCGGGACCTCCCTCCAGGACCCCCCTCTGCAGGAGCGACCACCCCTGTCCTCCTTGTCCACAGGCGGGACCGGGCAGGGGAGGGGGGGCCGCCGGGACCCCAGGGGGGTGGTAATCTGACCCGGGACCCCCTCCCCTACCCCCCACCCTCCCCCGTGAGGGAGGGGGACAAGGGGAGGGAATCGACTTCTGCGACGTTTCTTGTCTCTGCTCGGTCCTGAATTTCCTTCGGACTGACGACGACGACAACGACGACGACGACGACGACGACGGCGGCGACGACGACGACGACGACGACGACTAGGACGACAGCGTCTCACACACGCCGAAGGATCGGCGGCTTTTTTATCCCGACTGGCGTGTGTAGGGCTGGGAGAGGGGAGCTGGATCCTGTTCTCCCCGTTCCCAGGCGACGCTGGTTTGTGGTGTGTGCCAGCCCCGCCCTGATCCGCGCCCTCATCTGGCCCCAGACGTGCGACGCCCTGATTTTTTCACGACGGCGTCCCTGGAAGTCCCGACCCTTTCCCCGGGACCGGTTTTTCATCCTGAGTCGTTTTTTGACGGTCCTGAGGCCTGGCGAGGGCCCCGCGGGGCCCAAGATAGCCAAAAACCTCCCGTCTTGATTCTTTTGCGACGTGATCATGCCTGGGGCCTCGCTCTGATCGCGGCGGTCGTCTCCGAGCCCCAGCTGGCGCCTGGTCTCCCTTCTGGCCGGCATGGAGAGGCTCCACCTTGCACCGCGAGCGGAGCGCCGGTGCCGACTGCCGACTGCGTTGGTCCCTTACATTAGTGGCCACAGCGGTGTTGACAAGGATCTCGCCAGTGCCAGGAGCGGGTGGGCCCCGAGCCAGCTGGTGCGTGCTGTCACCGGAGGCTGGCCCTGGGATCCTTCTGTTGGAGATCTACGCTTCGCCTCCTCAATATGGGGTGGCGGTCTGGCTCTTCCGGCAGCAGCGCTGGGAGTGAGGGGTCAAGTTGAAGGGCCGCCCCGAGGTTTCGGGAATGGAGACTTGTTATCGCTGGGGATTTTAATTTGCCTCTTGCTTGCCTGGGCTTGGACAATCAGCAAGCGGAGTCCTTGATCGACCGCGAGATCCTGCTGCTCCTGCGCCCTTCTGGCTTCGGCGCGGTGCTCCGCAATCCGGTCGGGGTATGGACGCACGGGTTTGGCACCACTATCGCTGTGATGGCCTCTTCCGCTGAGTTCCCGATAGCGTGGCTGTCGAGCCGTGCGATTCCCCAGATGTCCCAGGTGACCATGCGAGGCTCGGCGTTGACCTTCCAGCGGCCTTCGCGGCGAGCCCGTGAGATGGCACTCGGCCGCAGTCGGTGGGGGCATGTGGACGACTTGGACGAAGCGCCTGGACGCATCGCCACCGCGCTCAGCTTCATTTCGGGGCTGGGCTGGTGCTGTGATGCGGAGCACGGAGTTCAAGGAGTGGACGGCACATGGGGCGGCCGGCCCAAGTGGGAGGGCTGGGGAGGGCACGGCGGCGCTGGCAGACGAGGTGTTGCAACCAGCAGGGCTTGCCGCGCCCGACGCGGACCACCTGTGTCCTTGGAGGACGAGCTCGCCAGCGCACTGGCCGCGCACCGGGCTCGGGCTCCTGGCCGACGTCTGGAGCTCGCTGCGACCTCCCGAAGCGAGGCGGAGGGCTGCGTCAGCGGACTCCTCAGGCCGCGCGAGCCGCTGCAGGTGGCCCCTCGGGACCCAGACTCGGGCAGGCGACCCGGCCCCGCCGGGGGCCGGGGCGATCGAGGTCGTCCCTGCGTCCGTCCTGGGCCGGGGTGCGGCGGCAGGCCCATAGGGGTGGCGTCTGTCAGCGCGCAGGCCCGCCCAGAGGCCCAGGCAGCTCAGGCCGCGGCTCTCCGCCAGACGGCGGAAGAGCCGGGCGCCCCCCTGTCCCCAGAGCTGGTGGCCGAGGTCTTCCGACAGGCCCGCTCCTCTCGCGAGACGCCCCATCTGCCGCGCGCCGCGGCGAAGGCAGCGCAGGCCCCCGGCCGCTCGGTGACGTGGGCCGTTCTGAGCTTGGTGCCGGTCTCTGGCCCCTGCGTAGTCGAGTGGATGTCGGATACATCCGCGATCTGGGAGCGAGGGCCCCCAGCCGTCGGCGACCCGTCGGGGTCCGCTCGGTCAGCCAGTTCGAGGTCTTGGACATCCCGGTGGACGCGGAGCTCTCCTTGCATCCGCTCCCGAAACGCACTTGTGCTGTGCTCCGGGACGGTGCGCGACGACTGACGGCCGCCCTCACGGGCCAGGGGTTCGGCCTCCCCATGCTCGTTGGTGAGGTTCCGGCCCGCGTCGAGTCTGCCGCACTGCATGGTGCGGGGCTGCTTGCGAGCCGTGCGCGTGGCTGGGGCGCGGTCGTGGCCCAGCCAGAGCGCGCGAGTTACGACGCGGCGAAGGCGCTCCTGGGGCTCCCTCCGGGCGCGTCCTCTGGCGCAGGGGGGTATCTCCGCGTCTTCCTGGAGATTCGGCAGCTGACGAGTCGCCCAGCGCATCATTCTGGCGTGGGTTCGTCTGCTGGCGCTCCCAGAAGACTCGCCCGTCGCGCCCGCGATCCAGGCGGCGCTGGCAGGCGGCTGGCTCCAGGACGCGGCCGCGGTGGCCCTGAGCTTCGGGGTGGGGCCGCCGTCCGAGGCGCTGAAAACCGCAGCGGCGGGGGGCCCGCGGCCCGCCGCGGTGAGACGCGGCGTTGGGCGCGGTCCTGCGTTATCCCGCAGGTGCGATGAGCGGAGCGGGCGTGGCTTTACGAACCGCTGGCTGAGCTCCGCGCCGCTGCGCCGCTGCCAGTCGCGGCGGTCCTCCCCCTGCGGCAGGCGTGGCCCGCAGGAGCTCAGGTGGGCTTCCTGGGGCCAGACCCACTGGAGGTTTCCCCGCGACTGGTGCGCGGCGCGCGTCACGTCCGAGCTGCCGGCGGCCATCCAGGGCGTGGGGGCCCAGTCGCCTGCCGACCACCTGCGCCCTGTGCGGGCGCGAGCTGGCTGGGCTGCACCACCACCTGGTCTGGTGAGCTTGGCTTGAGGCGCTCCGTGCCGCCCTGCTGGTGCACAGGGCGCCGTCGCCGGGGCTGGCGAAGTGGGTGCTCGCCGACACAGACAAGCTTCGAGAGCTCGCGGCGAAGGTTCGCTGCCTGGGGCTCGCCTGCGCGGCGCCTGCGCTCGCCGCGGGCAGGCAGAAGTGCCTCTCCCCTCCCCCGCCCTGCTGCGGCTGCTGTTCTCCCCCCTCCTCTCCCTCCCGCTCCTCCCCCTCTCTCTCCCCCTCCCCCTCCCTCCCCCGAACGCGCGCTGGCCGAGCCTGCAGGGCCCACCCCGAGCGCCTGGCACACTGTCCCACCCGCGGGGGGGATCGGCCCCTGGGGGGGCGGGGTGGGCTGCGAGGCTCGACCACCTCCCCGCGCCGGCGCGCGCGCACCGCGGCCCCTGGACCACGGGAGGAGGGGGAAGGGGCGGAGGAGGAGGAGGAGGAGGAGGAGGAGGAGGAGGAGGAGGAGGAGGAGGAGGAGGAGGAGGATGAAGACGAATAATAATAAGAATAATATTCAGAATGCTAATACGAATACTAATATTAATAATAAGAAGAAGACTAATAAGAATACGAAGAATAACAATACTCATACGAATAAACATAATACTACTAATAATAATAATAATAAGCACAATCAGAATAATCATACTAAGGATAAGCCGAATAGTAATATTAATCGTACTAGTAATAATATTAAGAGTCGTATTATTAATAATAAGAGTAACAATATTCTTCTTCTTCTTCTTCCTATTATTATTACCACTATTTTATTTTTATTATTATTATTATTATTATTCTTATTCTTATTATTATTATAATTATAATAATAATTATTATTAATATTAAAGTTAAAATTGAAAATAATAATAATAATATTAATACTAATACTACTAATATTAATGATACTAATAATATTAATAATAATAATAATAATAATAATAATAATAATAATAATAATAATAATAATAATAATAATAATAATAATAATAATAATACTAATACTAATAATACTAATAATACTAATAATACGAATTCTACTACTACTAATAATAATAATAATAATACTAATACTACTAATAATAATAATAATAATGATAATAATAATAATACTAATAACAATAATACGAAGACTAATACTAGTAATAAGAAGAGGAAGAAGAAGAGGAGGAGAGGATGGGGAAAAGAAAGAGGAGGAGGAGGAGGAGAGGAGGAGGGAGAAGGGAGAGTGGGAGGCTGGGGAAAAGCGGAGCCGTGCGCAAAGAGGAGGAGAGGATGAGGATGAGGATGAGGATGAGGATGAGGATGAGGATGAGGATGAGGATGAGGATGAGGAGGAGGGAGGAGGAGGAGGAGGAGGAGGAGGAGGAGGAGGAGGAGGAGGAGGAGGAGGAGGAGGAGGAGGAAGAGGAGGAGGGGGAGGAGCAGGATGTGGGGAAGGATGGTTTTGGCAGTCGTCTTAGGCAGTATGTGTTGAATGGATTGTTTGCGTCGTGCTTGGGTTGTCTTGGACCCTTTTTGGGGGCCTGGGGCGTTGTCTCGGGGCGGTCTTGGGAGCCCCAGCCCTGGCCTGGGCCCCAGCCTGGGCCCCAGCTCTGGAAAAATCGCAGCCATCCCCCCCCCCCAGTTGCCCCTTTCCCTGGCAGAGCCACCCCGGCAACACCCTCAGCAGAGCTAAAGTTTAGGCTGTGGCTTTTTCAATCTCGCACGCCGGATCGGCGGAGTTGTGTCACTCATGCTCTTCTCACTGAGGCCGACTCCAAAAGAAGGCGCGCGCACGTACACGACAGCTGCTGACTTCTGAGGGCGCGTGGCATGTTCGCTCCCTCCCTCCTTCTCCCAGGCCAGACAAAGCCTTGCGAGCACCACTGCAGCAAGAACGCCGTGATCGCCCACTTCACCGGTCATCCGAAGCCCACCTCCCCCAAGAGGCGACTGTTCGGGTTAGACACCGTCGTCATCGTCGTCGTCCTTCTCCTCTTGCCCATTCCTCCTCCCTGGGAAGGGAAAGGATTATGATGTTGATGATGCTGCTGCTGATGATGCTGATGAGGATGATGCTGCTGCTGATGATGACGATGGCGATTATGATGATGCTGATGCTGATACTCCTGCTGCTGATGATGATGATGATGATGATGATGATGATGATGATGATGATGATGATGATGATGATGCTGATGATGTTGATGATGATGATGATGATGATGATGATGATGATGAGGACCAGGAGGAGGATGATGAGGAGGAGGCCGAGGAGAAAGGAGGAGAGTTATGATGATGATGAGGAGGAGGAGGAGGAGGGGGAGGGAGGAGGAGGAGGAGGAGAGGAGGAGGGAGGAGGCGGAGGAGGCGGAGGGGAGGAGGAGGGGAGGTGGAGGATCTGATGCGGGGGAGGGGTCGAGAGGAATGGATCGAGGGGTGGCGGAGGCGGATGATGAGAAGAGGCGGAGGAGGAGAGGAGGAGGAGGAGGAGGAGGAGGAGGAGGAGCGGAGGAGGCGCGGAGGAGTGCGGTGGAGGAATAAGATCGAGGAGGGGTCGGAGGAGGAGATGGAGGAGGAGGAGGAGGAGGATGAGGAGGAGGAGGAGGAGGAGGAGGAGGAGGACCAGTGTAAACCCAAGGATTTTCAAATGTTCGGATATACCCTCCCTTCAAGCTCCCTCTTCATAAGCCCCTACGAGTATCAATTTCCATCGAGGGAAGTGCCCCGCTGGGAGACAGTTTGAAGATCCTGAGGCGTGCCCAAATACCGTTCCCATGGCTTCGACGCCACGAGTCAACCAGACTGTTGCTTCTTGACGATCCTGAATCGTGCAAGAAACCATTCCTGGGCATACAACACCGCGAATCAATGCAACTGATACCAGTCCTGGGGCGTCAACACCGTTGCGCCCTGAGAATTCAGAATCGTTCCAACAACATAGTTCCTGGTACGTCAACCATGAAAACCCATGGAAATCTTGCATCTTTTAAAACGAATGTGTGCGGCGCTGAGGTGGGCGCCACGGTTTGAAAAGGAGCCGCCCTCAAGCCGTGAAATATTTGAAACTGCTTCGTATGAGTGTACGCTGCGCTAATGCGAGAGCCACATTTTGAAAAGGAGCCGCCCTCAATTCGCGAAGCTCTTGCAATCTTTCCAAGCACATGTGCGCGGTGCTCAGGCGAGAGCAGCATTTCAATCCATCAAGCTCTTGCAGTTTTTCCCTACCTAGGCTCTGCCTAGAAGGGTTCTTACTCTCTAGCTTAAAGGGGCCGGGCAGTGGAAAGCGCCCCGGGCGGTTCCCCCAGTCCCCTGGGAGCGGTTCCCCCCAGTCCCCTGGGAGCTTTAGCTTAGCTTTAGCTTAGCTGT